ACGCATTATGAATATTAATCTTAAATGTATCAATCAGTGTACGCAAGATGGCGGTCCGTGTACACCTGAGTTGTATGACAATTGACTCATTTAATAGTAATTAATTAAGTCGTGAACGTAATTACCATGTGATTATGGAAAATAGTCTATATCTTAACATTATACAACTGAAAAGATTGTTTGTTTGAACGTACTAATGTCAGGAACTACTGGTTCCAAATTAAAATTGCGTTGATTAGATCTATTTATCGAGGAAGGCTTAAAAACATTCATTTGCGTTTTATACAAGAAAACGCTTCAAGTAGCCAATTTTTTTTAAATTATATAAACAATGTCCACGACAATATATGTATGTCAATTTTTAGGACTAACCGTAAGAACTTATTAAGTTCAGGAGGTTGTTTGCAAAAAAAAATTGATGCTGAAAATAACTAACGCGCACGCGGACAAATTTGTGGAACTAGCAAGTCTCGCACACGCGAAAAAAACTAATAACACTTATTTTAAATACTGTCTATAGTTTACGCGAGTAGTGCACAGTTAATTAAAACACTTTAACGGTTTAAAACGCGATATATTAGTTAAACTTATTGAAAATGATCTTTAACTGCGGCCCAACGTTTCGGATGCTTTGCAGCAGCCGTGATCACATTTAGACACTTATTTCATATTGTGCCGATCTATAGATATTCGGCCGTCATAATGATATAATGGTTCTTCGTGTTTCATCAGATAAAAGACATAAGGATATTTAGCGCGTTCCCAGACTAAGCGAGCACTAGAGAAATGTAATAATGTTTTCTACACCCATATTCTAAGACTACATATATTTAAGTTCCAGAATAATACCTACCTTAATAATAGTGACGCTAAAACTCTTTTTTGTACAAACAAATGAAATACAAATAATAGTAATATTCAATTAATTATTTACATTTTCTTCAAGAAATATGTAAGTATACAGAAAGGGCAATAAATTATCAACAAAAGAGACCATTCAACAAGGAGGGGGAGGGCCAGATACTACACATGTAAACACACATTATAACATATTAACATAGTTACAAATTTTATAAATAATAAAAATGTAAGCTCATAAAATCAAGACTAAAAACAATTATTGTAAGAAAATATTGCTTGACTTTGTCCTTGAAGGAATTAAGTTAATTATTACAATAAAACACTTTAAAAGTTTAAAACGCGATATATTTTAGATAAACTTGTTTGAAAATTATTTTTAATTTTTATAATGTACTCTCTTCTACAGACAGTATTTAATTTTAAATCTAGGTTCTGACTCCATTTAATAATTGAGGCCGTTAGAAACAAAGTAGCCTAACTGCAATTTTATGACTTGGGTTATTCATATTTTCATAGTTTAAAAATGTTAACTAGAGCACAGTGACCGAAAATTGTTAACATATTTTTTACAAATAATAGTAAAATTTCATTTTTGCCTAAGTTAATTGCGCATTTATATTTTCCTCCTTATTGGAATTCATGTTTTTTGTCATTAGGCCACTCTGCCTCTAGCAGCTTTAATTTAAGCATATTACGAGTATACTGATATGTTGATTATAGTGACAATAATAGCGTTTTAAATAGGTAATCTATGCTGTACAAACATAATCAATGAATTATAATGAAATCTACCTACTCGTTACTCCAAATTATTAATTATTATGCATCCCGAGTTACATAAGAAGTCATTATTACTTGATTGATCACTCGTATCACATATCATTTGTACATAATGAAACAACATGTCATGTCTCAACTTCTGTGTGTGAATTAAGTATTTGTTTATTTATAGATAACTACATATTAATTTGTAAGTTCACCTATAAAATCTATACTAATATATAAAGCTGAAGAGTTTGTTTGTTTGTTTAGACGCGCTTATCTCAGGATTTTTTTATGTTGGTTAGAGCATTTATCGAAGAAGGCTATTGACTACAAAACATCGCCCTGTGACTAACACAAACACACAGCGGAAAATGTGGCAAAAACGGGGAAAATTATTCATCTTTGTAGGCTCTGCGAAAACGGTTCAAGATACCCAAAAAATATGTATCAAAGAATGATTTCTATTTTAATGTAAATGGTGTAAAAAAGAAGTCCGCGTCTATCTTTTAGGATTAACTTTCAAGAACGACGGGAAGGGACGCGACTGACGTAGTGGGTAACATCTTAAGTTTATAAAAATGAAGGGATTTGTAAGTAAAGTAAAGTTGAAAGTAAATTCGGATACCCAAAAAAAAATTTTTTTTTTTTTTGGTGCAAAATGTCATATGTACCAGGTACCAGGGTAATCGTTAATGATACAATGAAAATAGTTGTATCATTACAATATAAATAACGCAGAAATACATCATTTTCATTAAAAAAAATTAGGACTACATTTCCATCTATAAAATCTTAACTAAAGTTTGACAAAGGCTTATTCAACTCCCTTATTGTTAATTCTGTTTCAAGGAAGCAGATTGCGAGAAAACGTGTAAATAATATGTACCTACCTACCTATACGTTCTTCTGTCATTCTTTAAAGTGAAATTTAGCTATGTAATATACTTAAATAGACTAAGTAACATCTAGCTCGTTTTTAAACCTGTGGTATAATGTAGTTATTGCTAAATAGTGTCTATAGTTTACGCGAGTAGTACATATTTAAATAAAACACTTTAACGGTTTAAAACGCAATATATTAGTTGAACTTATTTGGAATGGAGCCGTGGTCACGGGGAGTCTCCCCTTGACCACGGCTGCTGCAAAGCAGCCGATACGTCGGGCCGAAGTAAAAAATCATTTCCAAATAAGTTTAACTAATATATCGCGTTTTAAACCGTTAAAGTGTTTTTTTTAAATAGGTATTGCTAGTCAAAGGATAGTGGATTCGATTTCCACGGGCCTTCGTGTATTTACATATTTTTTGTTACACATTTTTAACCTTTTTTTAACATCTGAACGGTTTAAATAAAACACCTTTAATGTTTAACACGTGAAATATATTAGTTGACTTATTTTTTAATTTAATTATCCCCTGGCCCTGACACGGCGTTTCGGATGCTTTGCAGCAGCCGTGGTCAGAAGGGGCAGCAAAAATCAGCGCTAGGGATATCGAATATTTATATATTTTTTTGTGTAGTCTGTGGATTGTCAAATATCTTAAGCCAAAGAGACGCTATAGGGGATAGGCATTAAACCATCCAACGAGCGTTCACGATGTGTGTCTGTCCTTTTCTAAAAAAAAGAAGTATTTTTTACAAAACACATTATCATCTAGATGTAATTAAAAAGTCTCATTATACCAGAAATAATGTAAGGTTCTGGATTCTGTAAAAAACTAACAATGCAATCTTATTACGTGAACCAGTCATGGGCTACTGGTCGTGACCTTGGTGCTTCGCCGTAATTTAAGTTCAAAATATCCTACAACACTCGACTAAAAACCTTTGTTGAATACGTATTCAAGCATCACATATTGGCAAAAAGTTAGATCCTTTTCTCACATTTTCCTGTAAATATTATGATCACTATCATGGCTCATATAACTATTAATATAGTCATAATAATTGAAAAGTAAAGTATTGTTTACGCGAGTACTTACAGTACCTTTAAAGGTTTAAAATGCGAAATATTTTAGTTACCTTATATTAAATTTTATGTAACTACGGCCGTACGTTTCGGATGCTCGGCAGCAGTCGTCTCGGGATCCTACTGTTTGTTAAAAGTTATATTTAAGTAATAAATCTTTTGTTCTATAGGGGATATTTTTTAAACAGAAATGTAAATGATGTGATGGTTTAAATATTGTACCTATATCAGATATTATAAATAACATAGAATATTTAAGCAAATTGAGTTTTAAAATAGTCCGTTGAAATATATAAAACGTTTTTATCTGATTGAAACAAGGCATAATTAAATGAATTTGTCGTATTTAGACGTCGATCAATTAAATAAATTTAAAATACAATACTATAAATATAGGTATGATATCATTAACACATGATCTATAGAAGATTTTTACAACAATTGCTTACACGATAAGTGAAAATTTAATCTAGAAGTTACAGTTGAATATCATGAGGCCACAGTGCATTTCCTCGTTACTCTAAATGCAGTGAATTCTAAGAAAAATATAGCTTTAGAATTTTTCCACGGCTGATGACTTATAATAAGCCATATTTATGCACCTAACGTTTGAAATTGCTGGAAGCAATTTACTTAGAACTTGAAATGTATAAAATGGAGTAGTGCGCCATTCTGTGCTATAAAACGTGAAGAACAAATTATACCTTATACGATGATAATAAGACGGCGTTTAAAAAAATCACGACCAAGATAAAAATAATTTTAAAAGTATTTTCCTTATGGAATATAACCTTATAATATATAAGTGTTTTTAAAATAAACATAACAAAGGTAGGATTATTATACCACTTGTTGTATTTCGCCAAAATATTATCGTGTATTTAGTTCAATGTATTATGTAGCCCTTTAACGTCGTTACGTGGTCACGGGGGGCTGCTGCAAAGCATCCCAAACTTTGGGCCGTAGTTAAAAATAATTTTCTAATAAGTTATAATAACTAATGTATATCGCTTTTTAAACCGTTAAAGTGTTTTATTTCAATGTGTAGGTACTATTTATTATCAAATTTTTATTACAAAGTATTGAATAAAGTTTTGAAATTAGCACCAATAACATCATGAACAGATAGACAATACTTTCAAAAGCTATTTAATGATTTCTTTGTATGTCGAGTGTGTATAATAAATTGATTTAATTCAGTTTTAATCACAAAACCGTTATGCATCTAGAATATCTTAGAACCGTTTTCCGATCTCCGAATGTAATTCGGTCTTCGGGCCAAATTTAAAAATAGAATTAGCGGCCATTACGTTACACCGGCTTTCATTTACACGCCGTGTTTAACCTAAACTCTCGTGCATTTATTGACAAAGTTATTCCATATTTAAACTGTTTTACCACGAAGCATGAAGGAGGAAATCAGTGGATTCTTTGTGAAATTTCACGAGACCATAAACAGTTCCATAGATGACGTCACGAGAAACAATTTCGCGAATTTAGAAACGAATTCCAAACGCGTTGCCTATTTAAACAGCCTTCCGGCAATTAAATCATTTGATCTTGCAGCGGAAGTGGAGAAGTGTAACAGTGGGGGTGAATTTCCGGTAAATAAACGGCTGGAGAAAGCTAAACTGTTGAAGGATGAGGGCAATAAGGAAGTACAGAAGGGTGACTGGGTCAGAGCTCTGCATTTGTACACTTTGAGTATAGTGCATATGCCAAAGAAGGAAAGTGAGTTCTGTCTTTTATTCATATTGCATTGAGTATAAAATTTAGTATCCTATCCTAAATAATTACTAATTAATGTAAAAAAAATTACTTGTTCTTCTCAAATTGCCTGAACACTACGCGTTGAAATGTGGCACATGCACGTATATAAAACAATGATAACAAAAACTATCGACTTCTAAAAATTCAAATGCGTAGTTAAAATGTTTTTTACATTTCTATCAGTTTAAAATAGTTTAATCTATCTTAGTTTTCTTTGAAAGCTTTACAAAATCACTTATAAGTACTACAATAAACTCTAACTTTGAATTTTTGTTTAGAACTCCAATCGTAGTAATATCGTAGTCTTTACCTTTTTTTATTATATCTTACGTTACCATCTGATTAGTATTTTCCATTTATCTCGTTTTAGCTGAAGAACTATCGATCGTATTAGCGAATCGATCAGCCGCGTTGAATCACTTGGAACAATATGAGGAATGCTTGGCCGACATTAGACGCTGTCTGGCTTCAGGATACCCACGCCACTTGAGGTACAAGGTATTTGAGAGACGAGCCAGATGTCTGCTAGTTCTCAAGAGGAACCAAGAAGCCATTAGGGCTTTCCAGTAAGTCTGTTTTACATTAGATTGAATGCCAGTTAATTAATCATCATAGGGACGAAAGATATTAAGTATTGCGGGTATATTTAAAAGAGTTAAAAAAACAAGAAATATGTATGAAATGACTGCTTTAAATTATGTAAAAAAATATCCGCGTCACCGTTTTTTTATAGAAATCATGTTTAGTCAACATTAAAATTTTATTCGACCAATTACTTCTTAAATTTGTGTCAACATAATATTAAACTGGCAAAAAACAAAACAACGTATGCCCGTTCATTGATAATATTTAATTATCTAATTTACATTGACGGTTTATATTATATCTATACTAATACTAATATATAAAGCTGAAGAGTTTGTTTGTTTGAACGCGCTAATCTCAGGATCTACGGGTTCTACTTGAAAAATTCTTTTTGTGTTGATTAAAAAATTTATCGAGAAAGGCTATAGGCTATAAATCATCGCCCTGTGACTAATAAGATCGAAGATACAGCTTTACGCTTATCTTCGTTAGTTAACAAAAAAAACTGTTAGTAAACAAAACGAGGGATTTTTTTTTAACTCTGTGGGTTTTCAATGCGTACGCTGCGAAAATGGTTGAAGATACTTAAAAAATGTGTATAAAAGGATTATTCTTCTTTAAATGATCTAGGAAAAAATCCGCGACGCTATATGTCTATCTATTAAGATTAGCTTTAAGTTAGCAAGAACGACGGGATACTACATCAATTTTTTTATGCATATCATATTTTTTAGGGACACCATAACAGCCCTCGACGAAGCCACCAGCCTGAACAAAGAAAAGAGACAAAAATTACGAACAGACGCTAAATTGATGTTGGAAGTTTTAAACAGAGGTCTAGTGCTTGCTGGTAATCCAAAAGATCCTGAACCGTTAATTAAAACTCTCTCGAAGCCCAAATTACCGGGAAAGCATAATCCTAGCTATCCAGCTGCATCTGATGCCATACAAATAGAGTATGACGAAGCCAGGGGGGAGATACGCGACAGCGGGAAGGGATATAGAAGTTGGAGAAACCATACTTATTGAAAAACCTCACAGTGCTGTCCTGTTAGCAGAATACTCTGCAACACACTGTCAACATTGTTTTACTAGGTATGTAATAAATATGTAGTAAGTCGTATAAGAAAAATATTTCAAACTTGTTGGCTATACATAATAAATAATGCCCTGTGTCCCTTCGTCCCACTTGTGAAAAAGTTTTACCAAAACTAAGCTATGCATATTTCATTTTAGATGCCCGATACCTCTAGCATGCCCAACGTGCCCAAACGTTGTCTTCTGCAGCGACAAATGTCAAGAAACTGCCCTCAAATCGTATCACGCGTACGAATGTCCTATTCTACCTTTGATATGGAAGTCAGGCTGTTCTATCACCTGCCACATAGCTCTACGAATGATAACTCAAAGAAGCAAAAACTACTTCAAAGAATTGAGCAAAGACTTAGATAAGAAACCGTCAGGTCAGTACAACAGCAACGACTACAAAAACATTTACAATTTAATATCACACGAAGAGAGAAGGTCAAAGCAGGATTTCCTCCACAGAAGCCAGATGGTGGTGTTTCTTGTTAAGCTTTTGGAGTTAAGTGGGTACTTTGATTGCAAACCTAGAGACAAACCTATAGATATTGAGGAGATAAAGACAATGGGAGTTGCTGAGGAACGCCGTGATGATGTAGAACTATTCGGAGGCCTTCTGTTGAAGAATATTCAAGTTCTACAGTTCAACGCTCATGAAGTGTTTGAGTTACAGTGCCAGAAGCGACGTTTAGATGAAACTGTTATAAAACACAATGGAGAGTCAGTTTTTCTCGCAGGCGCTGTATTTCCTACTCTTGCGCTTTTTAATCACTCTTGTGATCCTGGTGTTGTGAGGTAAATTGACTTTACTTATTTTGTGTAAGAGATAATTTGATCTCTTTTATATATACTTTGCTTTTAGATACAGTTTTGAAATAGTAAACTTCTAAGATGTTATAAACACAATCTACACTAGTGGTGTAAATTCAATAAAACACTTTAGCGGGTTTTGAGTAGGTAGGACCCTACGTATCAGGTGTTTTTAGCAGCTATTGTCAGGGGAGACTAAATAAGGTGGGCGTCAAATATGCTACGCTGCCCATCTATCCCTCATAGTTGATATATACCTTACTTCACTCATAAGCAAGTAGTAGACACCGTAATAATATATTATACGCCTTTAAACCTTGCAGTGCATTATTAAATTTATAAATTATGCAGATACTTTGCGGGGCCTTACGTCGTTGTACGCGCTGTAAAAATCATAAAGAAAGGTGAAGAAGTGGCTGAGAACTACGGACCTATATTCACGACTACGCCTAAGGAAAAGAGGCAGACTACATTGAAAGACCAGTACTGGTTTGATTGCGCCTGTGTACCTTGTCAGCAAAACTGGCCTCTATACGGTCAAATGAATGAGAATTACATGAGATTCAAGTAAGTATAAGTTAATAATATATTGTTAGACAAATGTTTATTCTGCTTGTGTCTACGTCATACGTCAGTTATTAATTTTTTAAAGAAACATAGCATTTAAATATAAGAATAAAACCCTCAAAAATAAATTTTATAGTCAAATACAGTTATAAAGTTGCATCCTTAGAAACGAATCACAGATAACATATTTACAAAAAAGGAACAAGATGAAAATTAACGTACCACAACATTGAAGTATAATTGTGCCTGAACTCTTCAGTGAGGGGGGGGGGGGGGGGAATTATTATGAGTTTTATTTAATATATAAAAACTATTTATTTTTGTATTGTATAATTTACATAGTAGGTATATGCAGAGGCGTTCGGAATTCAATTTTCTTTTCCGAAATTGATAAACATTAACCATAGCCTCCTATATAAACATAACGTGATTTAAATATTAAGATTAATATATCTTCTTTAATTACAACAGATGCGATTCAGGTCAACCGTGTTCCAACGTAATTCCTGTACCTCACGACTGTACAGAATTCATGATCAAGTGTGGACTATGTCAGCAATTCACGAACATTTTGAAGGGGTTGAAGTCATTGCAGGTGCCTTAAACAACTTTCTTTTTTCTCTATAGTGTTAAGAAAAAGGGTGCAGAAATAAAGCACAGAGGAACCATAGAGCAAAAGTACCCTAAATCTATTATGGATTTACACTAAGAAACATCTGAATATACATAACGACACCAAAATTTATATTACTTGCAGAAAACACTGAATTAAGTGTATGTCTGGATATACCATTAAATGTAACCGCTGCTGAAAGTCGCTTTTCCCAAATACAATCTCCGGCGCAGATCTATTATATTCAATCTATATTAGTCAATTTGGACCCGGAATATATCCGCGTAAATTATGAACCTTTTGTTAATTGGTACGCCAATACATGATATTAGTATAATTTCTTGAATATTTCATGCGAATTGCGATAATCGTCTGACCAAACATTGCCTTATTAAAACATCAGTAAAACATTCCGTCACTTTTGATTTGTTGTATGCGTTGATCTATACTTCTATACTAATATTATAAATGCGAAAGAAACTCTGTCTGTCTGTCCGGCTTTAACGCCGAAACGAATGGGCCGATTTTAAAAAAAATGGTACATATGTCTATCTCTCTAGAGTCTAGAGCTTGAGAAAGGCTACTTTTTAATGTCAATGTTAAAAAGGAAGATGAAAAAGTTTGTATGGAAAATTCGTGATTTTTTCGAAGCTAGAAGAATGAAACTTTCCTTTTTGGCTTTTTGGGAATGGGAGTGTGAGTAGGAGTGGGAGTGCGAGTAAGTGTAGGAGTGAGAGTGGAAGTAAGAGTATGAGTGATGTGTAGTAAGAGTGAGAGTGTTGAGGCAAAGTAGCACTTACAACACAGATTGACTGTCTTGAATGAGCCCTTTTCGATGACATGAACTAAAAGCTTTTGCTATGCGAAAAAAGTTAGTAACTGGTTGAATGAGGGATAAAAAGTTGTATGGATGTATCGTAATTAATTTTTATAGAACTTACTAATATTATAAATGCGAAAGTAATTCTGAAACACTTTAACACTGCACTTACACGTGTGCCTTATTAAATTATTATAAACAGCCTAAATAATTAATAATTCTACCCAAAGTCACTACTCTACGCAGAGGAAGTCGCGGGCAGTCTACATCTAAATTTACATGAATATTATTTAAATAAAACACTTTAACGGTTTAAAACGCAATATATATATTTTAAGCTAATTAATATCTATTAATTAGTTAAATATATCGCGTATTAACCCGTTAGTGTTTTATTTAAATAATATTCATGTAAATTTAGTTAGTGTAGTTTTAGGTATATTAGGAAATAAAACCTTCTTGGTGTCATAAATATATTTAATCTAATTTGTACCTTACATTAAAAATTATAGATGAAAATATCTAATTGGTAGAACATAATTTAACCTATACCTCCTCTTCAAAAATGTCTATACACCCTCAGTCTGTCTCTTTCCAATGCGCCATGGAGCCCTTAAGGCTTTCATTCCTCTCTTTCCATCAGTACAAGTACACGCCATAGACAATGGTATAGCAATATATTGTATCGTTCCTATACAAGTCGTCCACATAATCATCAGTCTCAGGGTCCCAGATACACCGCTGTCCACATTTCACTCCAGCGCCTTTAAGTTCCAGTACAGTTGTCTGTACTATTATTTTGTATCTGTAACAGAGAAATAGTTTATATATATTGTAGGTACAAATTATAAATTGTTTCTTGTCTAACTCAAATCTAATTCCGAAATTAATGAAGTGCAAATGTCCTTTTGGTGGTCTCTTTGGTCTACTGGTAGCTACATATAGCTAACTAGCTACCCGCCTGGCTTCGTTCGGGTGCTATGCTAATACTAAAAACACTACAGGAAAACTGTGAACGTTTTAAATAAAAACCTTCCTAAATAAAACCGCATCAAAATTCGTTGCGTAGTTTTATAGATTTAAGTGACATAGGGAGAGAAAAAGCGACTTTGATCCACCGTCCACAGTTAAAGAAGCCGTTTCAGCCTGTGTCTGTGGATTTCCGAATATCGAAAGCGAAAATAGCTCGACAGCACATCTTCAGTATATGCTATATGGCTGGGGTATTCCACCCATCAAGTGATCCCCATGCTTATGTCCCTTTCATTATTAAAAAAAGCAGATGAAGAAACAGTAAAATTTACTAGAGTGTCGGTTTCAGTACAAATGTGCAAATAGATCGTCAGCGCATCTCCTTTAAATTTATCAGTATATGCCTAGGGTATCTCACCTTTAATTAAGTGACCCATGCTTGCCTGTCCAACACTAATAAAAATAATAATAATAATCCCAGTTTTTACGGTTTTACCTCTTCATTTCAAGCTCTTGTACGCGCTGTCTCACTGCATTTGCGATAACTTTAGCCCAACGAGGAGCTTGGTCTGAACGATATTGCCTTCCTAGTAGCTGCTCTTGCATTGTCGACACAATGATGTCGCGTACGTTTTGAGCTTGAAACCTGAAAGGAAATAGCTGTTCTAGCTCTTTATCTGTATAGATAGATTTAGGCAGTTATCATAATGTTTGTTACTCTGTTACAAACAGCATGTTCATCCCCATTTATGGATCCATTATTTTAATAGTAATATCAGGTGTCTTATCCATGCATCTGTCATTAAAATTTGCATTTATGCTAACCTTTTCTAAAGAAACACTTTAAAGAAGATTACGATAAAAGCAAATATTTACATTTTATTAAAAGTTTTAAGTGACGGTCTACTTATATTTAAATACAAACTTGTCTCCAAGGCCAGGCCGCACTTCATATTTAGGTGGTGCAAGAGGCTTTTCAGTCTCAACAGGTGTGACGGCAGCTTCACTGTCACCTCCTGCTTCTTGGATTTCTGTTTCTTCTTCTCCAACTATAAAAATGCTCCAATTATTTAAATGTCTTTCATTTTCAGTATGCACATTTCCATAAAATTTACTTACCTTCTTCATCAGCCATATTATTTTCTTAAGTTCAGACAGAACAAACCAATGTAATTTTTTTTTATTACAGGATACAGAAGTAATGTATAAACTTGGTCGAGGAGCAATGGAGGAGGGCAAATATCCTGAAGCTATGAAAAAATTAGTTGAAGTAATCAAACTATATGATTCAACACTTGCTCCACCATATAAATCATACTATGACTGTGTACAGGATTTGAGGAGATGTATGCTTTCACTTGGAAACTATAGTGTTTTGTAATCTACTGATCTACCATCAACTAATATAAGGCATAAATGTGTGTTTTAAATAAAATATTATACTAATACAAGTGTTTGTTTAATTTATTGTCATGGTTACAGTCTTATATGATAATTCTGATGCTATAACAGAAACTGACATTAAAGAACTAATGATGGAATGTAAAATATAGTTTTGTAAAAGACAGGAACGTTTTAGTTAGATGTGAGATAGCTAACCTATTATCCCCGCCAAAGCGGTAATAGGGTGTTAGTTGGAATGGGAAAATGAAAGAAGTGGTCAGCAGTTAGTGAGCTGATCAAGTTCAAAACAATAATGTTTTCTATGTAGTACTATGTAATATATTTTACCTGTACATTAAAATAAAAATGAACCAATATTCATAAAATATAACCTTAAAAACTTCGATCAATTCAATGTAAAATCAATTGTTATTGCTATTAATATTTTCACTAGAAATATATTTAATCAATTAGTACTAACTAGATACTCTAAAAACTTAACAAGTAAAGATAATCTTAATTATTAATATGATGAAAACAATAGTCCGTTACCATGGGAACGCATTTGACAATTTGACATAAACCAATATGAAATATATAAGCTTAACTGTGGTTAGGTATGGTTTTAGTTTAGCTGTGTACATCGTAGCTACTCTGTGGTTCATTCGTAAGAAAATACAAATCTACAAACGTCAGTTTTCAAATTTCACGCAAACATTACGATTTTATTGAATTAAGTTACATCTTGAAAAATATTACGTTATTTTATACATATTTGCTACAACAAACAAATGTATCATCTTAAGTGCACCCTATAGTAAAGTACTAATACACTACTGTTCTCGTAGTAAATAAAACACAATGTTGTAACCATTGGTAGTAAGAATTTTACGACATTACTATAATAGTATACAACTCCCTGATACGGTTTTAAACTACGTGTTACGTTTACTATTCATTATTTTTGGCATGTGAAATGTTGTTTTCGTATAAATAGACTTATGTTATAAGTTTCGTACAGTGTAAAATAAAGCTATGGCTACCTACGACAACAAAGCATGGCTTCTGAAGAACATCAGGGATGCGTTTATTGCTACGGACGACACGGGATTGTGTGAGATTGTGATGGCTGGTGAAGATTTCTCAAAAATCTTCCAAACGAAAGCGATCGAAGAGAAAAAGAGAATAAAAAATAAAACCATTAATAAACCAAGTACAAGTAAAGACAGAGATAGTTTTGTAGAAGATGATGAGAAGGAAATCGCGACACAATTTGATCCTTACCCTGATATGGAAGACAGTGATGAAGATCCTATGTATGGTAGCTGGTTTCGCCATGAAGAGTTTGGTGGTCACAGGTACATATTTAGGTCAGATTTGTTTTGACTTTGCCAAAAGTGCACATTACAGGTCTGCAATCAATTAACCTGGACTTGAATTTATTTTGATAAATGTTGCAATTTTTTCTTATAAACAAGAAGATGATTTTAAGTGTCAAGAATAAACCATTTTTTTTATTATTTTATGATAGATCCCTTAATATAATATTAATCTATATACAACTATATACTTGTTGCATTTTACGATGGCAAAAAGAATCTAACTTATTGTTCCTGCCATCAGATAACGCAAATATCATAGGTTGATTATATGTGTTATGCCATTATTTACAGGCAAAGATCAAATACAGCCCAATGGCTTGATAAAAAGGAGTTAGCTTTAAAAAAGGCAGCAAAGATAAAAGTAATTAAATGGGAGGGCCCATGCCCCCAGTTAACAGATGAGCAAATAGTGGAGGCATTTCAAAAAGTTGAGGTCAAAAGACCTCAGAAGCAGAGATCTTTATTAACAGAGCAATTGGAGAAATGTCCAGATTTTCCTCACCGCCAGTACCTGGAGTATGCTAAGTTTGATGGGACTGCACAATTAGGATTGCCAACAAAAGTTTTCAAAATCTTTATGACGACTCTACCAGAAAAACTTCAGAATTACCCTGTTATTGTTAGTGTTATAGCTAGTGCCAAGATTAAGGACTTAATAGGATTTACATGCTATAAATACAGGTGACTACATTTTTTGATAGTATTCCTAAGATTATGATTAAGTAATGCTAATAGCTATACAACACAAAACTTATAAGATTTTTTATCATTATACAAAAGGAATCGGATGAAGTGTAGTATAGGGGCAGAGTGGCCTAAAAACAAAAAAAAATGTTATTTCCAATAAAAAGGAAAACAAAAAACCCAATTAACTTAGGCAAAAATGAATTTGTACTATTAAATTATGTTAGCAACTTTCAGTCACTGTGCTCTCTTAGATTAAGATATTTAGACTATAAAAATATAAATAACTCAAGTATTAAAATTGCAGTTAGGCTACTCTGCCTCTAGCTGCCTCAAATTAAACCTACACACAACCCATAAAATACTTGGTTGCCATTTGCCCTCAGTGAAAACTGCAAAATGAACCTTACCTATTCTTTGATTATGTTTCCTGATATACATTTTTTTCTTGCAACAAAATTTTATATTGTTTCAGCATAGAACACCCAGAGATAACTCTCGGATCAGTACATGACTATGGGCTTTGTATAGCAGAAGATGATGGAGAGGTGGACTGGGCATTTCCATGCTTGGACAATAATGAACCTTGCTCCAAGTTTGGCTTTACTTGCCTTGGCCTTATTGATGTTAAGCAAAAAGAGAAAATTGTGACCACGCCAATTCCTGATTTAGATATGGGTCATAGTGTATTTTGCTTTCCGAAGGCACCAGATTCTGGGCAGAGTCATGTAAACTCAAAACAACATACAGGTGGTAGTGATACTTCGGAAATCATGAAGGCGATGCATTCTGTAACTGAAGGTATGTTTCTATCCTGTCACAGAAACATTTTTACTTGTTTAGTTTTGAGTGTATTATGTTTCACTGTAGATTTTATTGAGATGTAATTATTCAGAATTTGGTTAACTTGGTGTTAGCCTTAATTTTGACATATTTATATTAATTTTATCCCATGTTTAAAACTTCTTAACAATGTTATAACCTTACAGATATAATGATAGATATATATTTTTAATTACCTGGATTTTTTAATTTAATTAACAGGATTAACCCTGTCATGTAAAATATTATTTTTGGAATAGGTTATACAAGAGAATATTGTATCTCCATTGTTTTTATGTCGAGTAAACAGATATTCTTTTGAAATTATAAAAGCAAAATTTCTATTTCATAATACATAGGTAACAAAGGGTTTGGCTTCCAGTCGGGCCCGCCCATAACAGATGCGCCGCAGGATAAACTATACAGGGTGCAACTTTTACACAAGATGAGAACTAGCACACCGGTTCAGCTCTGTATTACCCTCGATCAAATTGAAGTGGTACCTCTTGTCACACAGAAACATGCTTTTTGGGTAAGCGATAATGGCCCACTTACATATATGAAGTAATAAAATCAGAAGAAAAATGATTAATAATGAAATGGGATTGGTTTGAATTAAAAAATAAGTTGAAATCTAAAAAAAAAATTTTTTGACAATAAGTGTCAGTGTTTTTCTTTTAGTCGCGGCCGAAATATTTTCTACACAGTATGAACTCTGTAGCATGGTGTCAAATGTTGGAAGCTAAAAGCAATAAGACATCGTTCCGCATTGTCTACTCCCCTAGTCATGATACAGCATTTAATGAGTCATTTACATCAGGTAAGTTAAAATTAGCTACATGTTAGGATATTGTCTGTAATCCATACACACTTTCAAAATAAGAGAAATAACTTAATTATGTATTGATAAAAATCATTGCCACATGCTAAAATGTCTAAATAGTTTTTTTTTATTTGCATATGCAGACAGAATGTACTACAAAAATCATATATTTTGATGAATCATTCAACAGTTTATTGCGTTAACGTATTTTAATTCGTACAATTCGTGTAGGACAAACTGTTTGATATGAACTTATTTTTTCAGGTACCTCTAGCACATTCCAATCCACGGCTATATATAAAAAACACGACTTCGAGTGCGATCACGATACAGCAAGAAAGATCGTCGACAAAGTGAACACTATACTCGATTTAAGAAACAGTCCGTGCCGCCGCGAATATAAGAACGCCAAGGAGAAAAAACTACAAACTCGTAGAAGTTTTCATACGAAGCAACTAAAGAGTTGAGTGTTTATGTATGTCCATTTTAAAGTTCCTTTGTACTTGACTCGTGATGACTGAACAGTGAGTTTCAAATAGGCCTCGGAACCAAATTTAAATCACTAACACAATTTATAGAATTAAAATCAAACAAACATCTTCATTAGAGTGCAACTATTCTACCATACAATGAATTAGCAGTAGAATTTTACAATACTCAGAAATTCCCTAATTTCACAATAGGCATATTAACACTTATGTAACTAACTATATCTATATCGGTTTCAAAGCCCTACTTTAAAATTATACTATGAGACTGGTCTCATACGGGCGTTTTGCATGGCAACAAAATTATTGTTATATGTAATACAATATACTGTAGATTTTGAGTCATGAAAAGAAAGAGGGAGGTTTTCAAAGTTCCCACAAACCTTTTACTCTCTCAGGGTTGTGATTGTAACTTGAAAGCATACAACTACTTTGAACTATACAAGAGAGAGAATATACACATCTCAGTAGATACGTATATAGTATGGGAATAATGTTAAAACAAGGTAAATATGAGAATTAAATTTCTGCTACACACTTATTGCTTTTCACTATGTGTGATTATTACGCTTAACTATTCAAAAAAACCCCTACTAGGGGTAGATTATCAACAATGTGTGGACTGATCTGTGTTCCCAAAAAAAATAACTGTTTCAAGCGCGAAATTTATTAGTTCTTAGGCCAGTGATGGTTACAGGGCATTTTGTAATGCGTATTAAACTTTCGTAGTCTACAGACAATACAAACTTGTAGTTTTAAATTTTGGTTGACATGCAGCCTTTTATAATTGTTATGTATAGCCAAGAGCAGATAGATGCCCTAGATTCTTGGCTAGAATCATTATAATATAAAGTGCAACTAGTCTTATAACTAGTATAAGAATGAGTATTACTTTTGTTCCAACTATGAACAATAATTAGATTAGATTTCATAAGCTGCCAGATGAAAATCGTACTGCCATATGTGTTTGTGTGTTAGCCCGTCCCCTTGTAAACGTTTTGAAGTCAACAATACTGTTGTACTTAGACTGAACAGTTATACTATATACATATATTCGTTCCTTTTAAAACTGCATTTATAAGAAAAGAAAATCGCCAGTGATATGGTCCATGTGGGTGCCTCGGTAAACACCAAAAATCCTAAATGTTTGAGTAGATTGATTCAAAATGACTACTCTGTGATTTAAGTACCAAAGCTGATTGCAGTGTGTGATTATAATTTCTTTATATTATCATTATGAGGGTGAACAAGCGAGGCTATATGCCATTACAACGGCGCGTGCGCATCGGACAAATCTGCGATCAGCTTTATTCGTCTTTCTTTTACTTTTAACCAAGTATAAACAGTAAGGATGAGAAAACTAGCTAATAATAAATAAATCAGGCATTAAAATTACTGTTAGTAATAAATGTGTTTTATAGTTTTGTATTTTGATAGCAGACGATTATGCACATTGGCAAATGTAATCATTACAATGTTTGTTTATAATTATAGAATACTTTGTAAAGCCATAAAATGCTTAGAGCAAAAATTCTTAAAGTAATATGTATACTTGTTTAAGGTGTAATTTATTTTTAAGCATAAGTTCTGTAACAAATGTTTTAAATTATACCGATTATCTACAGCAATGCACTACCACTACGAGTTTAATTTATAAAAATAGATTTTTTTTATTGAGCATATGGTTTATACAATGCAATATTATAAAATCCAAGTATATTAATAAATTGTTTTTTATACATTGTTTGTTTCATTTATATTAGAATAAATAAAAAAGTATCAAGCTTAAGATATAATGCACAGATATAAAATAAATATTATAATATAATAAATAAATAAATTATATTAGTATTAGTATATTAGCTTGTGTAAACAAATAATACATCAAATTTTGCTACATAAATGATTGATTATTTTCATGAAAGTCAACAGTACTGTTTTCTAAAATATTGTCTTGAATTTTATGGACATTTTCTTCACATCTATTTAATATTTCATTATCTAGCTCCATTGCTCTTCGATAGAACGCTCGAGTAACCTCAACTTCTTTGTGTAAAGCCTGTTGGCTTTCACACAACTTTGATAGATTTATTTTTTGGTTCAAAAATTCAATATCTTCATCAGTCAAGGCTGAATAACACATTTCAGATCTGGTAGGTGCTGCATTCTTTGCCATCTTGCATTGTCTGAAAAAAATATATATAAATAAATCAGCCATTCTTGAAACTGATATACTACGTATGCTACATTGTCAATAATAAATACTTACTCCCTAAGTTCATGATAATCATTTCTCCTTTGACGTACTTCATCCTTCCACTGTTGTTTTTCATTTTGCAAGTCCTTACAGTATCTGTAATAGAACTCTCGTTTATTTATATTTAGTAAATAATATTGTTACTATTGAGTGGCTTGAGAATACACATACTGTAATAGTTGTTCATTCTGTTGACGATCTGGTTCCGCATCAACAAAAGTTCTTTTTGGTGGAGGGTCTGGTACTAAAAACAATTAAATATTTATTGATTTAGTGAAATATGACTATTTCAGACTTGTAACTTACCTATTGATTCACGTCGCACAAAAAATGTTGACCGTCGACGTCGTGGTGGCGACTTTGGCAATTGCTGATCGCTTTCACCAGAATTATCCATCGTTAACAAATAAACAAATTTCGTTAATTAAACAAACTTAAAAATTACTTTATTTAAAAGTAAAATTATATTAATATAACATAGTTTAACTTATAAAAGTAAGTAAGCGTAAGTTTTGTTAGTACTATTTATTTATATTTAAATTTCTTAACGAACACAAACTTCAGTCTTGATGCGCTTTCTGTCATCTATATTCTATGTTTTACCATAGATTTTCAATTTATATATAGTCCATAGAGTATATATGAATTAGACTGTTGAGTTACATTATGGTCAATAAAATATTACTTTCTTTTATGGAGAGTGATAATAAATAAAATAATAAGACTTTGTTTAAAAGTTTTCGTTACCAGGCCATAAAATATTTTTAAAAAAAGTTGATCTTGATTAAGATTAATCTTGTTTATTCTTATTTCTGGCAGATGATGGCTTCTATATATAACAGATCACTAGTTATTTCTTTAAAAACAAGTTAAAACTGAAACATAAAGATGAGGTGAAAAAACCTAAAAAAATATTTTAGAGCTAATTTTTTTTGCCCTATTCAATCGAAAATATAATCGAGTAAGCTGACATTTCTGGTGTCAGTTTTCATCTTGACATTTGCGCACATTTGCTTGCTTCGACCGTTCAACATTCTTTTTGGTAAATACCTATATGTCTAATACTTTCGTGCCGCATTCGATTTTTCAACGCATTAGCTGAATTTTTTATTTTCGCTAATATAATTGTTTGCTAAAATGTCTTGTTCTCGTAAGGGAACCTAGCTATACATGGGTAAGATTATATAATAATAAAACATTTGCACGTTTATTTCCCTACATTAAAATTTTAGTAACTTTGTATGGACTTGTAATACCTATAGGATTATGTTTTTAGCAAATAGTGATGGAGTTCAGTGGATGTCAAACAAATGAGGTATTGGACCCGGTTGAAATAGAGTTTTCGGATCGATCACGAACACCAAGCCCTACACCCGTTTTAACGAGTAATGTTTGTTGTGATTTGGAGGACATATTGAGCGACGTAAGTAGCTATTAAGGTATTTTTTATTTTGCATTTATAATTGCTATAGAAACGAAGACTTATCTATTATAAATCCTTTGTCCTATTGTAAGACAAAATGCGTTTAATTGTCCACTTTCTATACAGGTATTTACTTTTCCAATAAGAATTCTAATTACGATTTGATGTACATAATTATAAAACTTGAGTAAATCAAGTTATTCTTTTCTGAAAATATTTATTTGACACTTGAATATGTTTATAATAATAATAATATTCATAGACAAATAATCATTTCGTAAATAATTAAAAAAATATTATTTACCTAAAACACTTTAATGGTTTAAAACATGATATTTATTAGTTAACTAAAAAAAAGTGTTTTATTTAAATGTATACTACTCGCGTAAACTACAGACAGTATTTAAAAAATTATTTATCATGGAATAAAGTATTAAATAGTGAAACTTTACAGGCAATTTCTGAATCTTTGCAAGGGTCAATACGAGTCAGTCGCAGTCAGTTAATAAATCAAGAGTTGACTATAAGACCTGAAGCAAACATAGAATCAAACGTTCCTGACGGATTGGACCTGTATAAGATTATCTTTGAAGTTGAAAGTGATTGTGAAACAAAGATGAGTGACGCAAATGCAGCTGCATCAAATAATACTAAAGATGAGGTAAGTGAGATTTATGTATTGATATAGTTTAAGTTTTTAAATGTCGATGATTCCAAACTTACAAGATTAGGGCCAATTCAAAATGTACTGTAGCTGTAGCAGGATATCGCAACCTTAAAAACAAAATCTTGTCTAATCCTTGCTTGATAAGGGATAGAAAATGATTTACGTAGCATTTGACATTACATATCACTATAATAGATGGAATGTAAATAATATTCATTGTGGAACATAAATAATTCAATGGTCTTTCACTGGACTTTTACTACACTAGCCGTGTAAGCGTCTTCGTCTGCATCCCACCGTTCTTGCAAGTTAATCTTAAAAGATAGGCATAATATAGTGTTGTGAATTTTTTTTTAGATAATTTAAAGAGAAATCATTCTTTTATACGTATATATTGGATATCTTGAACAGTTTTCGTAGCGTACGCAACGGTTACCTACAAGGATTAATAATTTTTCCAGTTTTCTTCATATTTCCCGGTGTTTCTTCGTTTCTATACAACGCATCGCGGTGTTTTATAACCTATGGCCTTTCTCTATAAATGCTCTAACCATCACAAAAACAGCAATTCAAACCAGAACTTCCTGAGATTAGCGACGCGTTCAAACAAACTTTTCAGCTTTATATATTAGTATAGATTACAAAAATAGAAGCATAGCCCATATCTATAATTATACAGACGTTTTTACTAATTATAGTTATATACTAATAAGTTATACATGACAGCAACATCAATAGTATGAAATTGATGATAGTTTTTGCGGCATCTATACTGTGATAATCCTCTTACAAATTGCATTAATTTAAACTAATATAGTCAACTGCTAAATAAAACTAGGACACCAATTCCTGCATTAAATTAACATGATTCAATGACAATTAGAATTGAAATAGTACAAAACTGTAGGTTTAATACAAAATTAGTGTACATAACACTATGTACTGACACCAGTTAAGTGCAAATATTTTTATGGATTTCACTTATGGTTCTTGTTTTCTAGTTGTTAGTAGTCACACCCCTCTTGAAAGATGATGACTGTGTATCTCAATCGAATCAACATTGTCAATTAATTAATAAATTATAATAAAGACATTTATGATTTTTAACCTAATTTATTTTTATTCCATGGTATAGGTAGGTGCGTGAACTTAATCTGGTTTGTTGCTTAAATTGCATCTCATACCATTAGTCCATCTTCTATTTAAATAAATATCTAGTTCCTAAATAGGTCTGGTTTAGGTGGCGAAGATATTTTTAGGTTTTATTTACAGACAAGAAGTCGCTCAGACTTCTGTGTCCTGTCCGAATGAGTTTTTTGTTTCTCTGGGATTCAAATCTAGGCGACACGGTAACCAATCAACTAAACAGTCTGTCAGCAATGCAAAAAAAATCCTTATTCATGAGATTAAATCAAACAACAATCTCAGCTGCACTATGAACTTTGCGTTAATTGTAGAGGGAAATCGGTAATTGCCTACTGGTTTTCATTTCAATGTTTCCTGTGTTTAATTAGAAAATGAAACTTAGCTGTTTCAGATTACATAGGACATTGTACTGATTGAAATAAAACTATTGTAGTTAAACTTGTTTGAAAATTATTTTTAACTACGGCCCGACATCGTGACCATGGCTGCTGCAAAGCATCCGAAACGTCGTGCCGAAGTTCAAATAAGTATATCGCGTTTTAAACCGTTAAAGTGTTTTATTTAAATGTATACTACTTGCATAAACTACAGACAGCATTGTACTGATGTTCTTGTTATATTAACTATTGCAATTTATTTCGTCAAAGTATTGTAGGTACTAGATTAAATAAATTCGAATTTGAAATAGTTAGCTATGTGTTGTTGTGTTTGTTTGTGTGCCATTACGTACGTACTTTTTCAAGTATGAGCCTTATCAAAAACGCCTTAAAAGAAAAGACATTCTATAGGGAATGTCACTTAAATTAAACGAGTAGTGTCCTCACTGGAGGATGCACTCAGCCAGACGAAACCTCACACCCCATCTGCTTATGGTAGAATACTGATTGCAGATTAGCACTGAAGAGAAAAAAAAAAAGTATGAGCCAAACCGGGGTAAAACAGTATATATTTTCGTAGTGATTTTGGATGCCGTGAGTGTAATTACTTATCAAGGCCAGCTGTCGTTCTAACGACTCGCCAATTTAGAACTAATATTCGTTTATAGGCCATAAAATCCTTGCTAAGCCATTAACGGTACAGTGCGGATAAAATGTGTACGCAATAAATAGTTCACTTTACAGCTTGTGTCCTGTGTACAACTCGTTTTTTATAGGTGAGAGCATCCTTGTTTAATAAACATATACTTATCGATACTGGTTAGTACTTTAAAGATTATTCAAGTTTGCTAAGTATATAAATGACTAGCTGTGCAAGCGACTTCGTTCGCGAGAAGTGTTATTTTGGGCAACCAAACTTGTTTTTGCAAACCCCTTCATCTTTATAAACTTAAGCTGTTACCCACGACGTCGGTTGCGCCCCTTCCCGTCGTTTTTGCAAGATAATCTTAAAAGATAGACATATAGCGTCGCAGACTTTTTTTTAGATTATTTAAGGAGGAATAATTCTCTCTTACATATTTTTTGGGTATCTTGAATCGTTTTTGCAGCGTACGCCTCGGAAACCCATAATGATGAATGATTTTCCTAATTTTTGTCACATTTCTCGCTGTATCTTCGCTCCTATAAGTCACAGGACGATGTTTTATAGCCTAATACCTTTCTCGATAGATGCTCTAACCAACACAAAAAGAATTCTCAACTCAACCTGAAGTTCCTGAGATTAGCGAGTTCAAACAAACAAACTCTTCAGCTTTATGTATTAGTATACATAAGTAAATTGAAGTTATACGTAATTCCAAATCAAAAATTGCATATGTGATTTTTTATTACAAGACATTCTGTATCTAACAATAAATATGACTTAATAGCAGAATGAAAGAGCTAATATCTATTAAAAATTTATAGATAGTATTCACAATTCACTAAACGTAAAGATAAAATAGAAATTCTGAAAAACTTCGATGAAGTCATGACTTACAAAGACGTATTAATTTTCAGTAGGTTAGGTTAGGTTAGATAAAAGATTACTCATACTTTTTTCCTACTTCATTGTGGCGATGCTTATCTCTATAACAAAATAGCAACGAATGCATGTACTGAGTTTACTTTTGAGAAATCGTTTTTTAATATCCTACAATATAATATAGGTATAAGTTTTCGTTCCTACCTAGGATACATATACGCAATCTCTTTACATTGCTATAAACTTAAATCGGGTCTTTAGCATTTATAGGTCAGTAGGTCATGATGCCACGGAACTAAAGGCTGAAATGCCAAAGGTCAAAGAAATCGGAATCAGGAATAGTTGTTATGAAAAAGCTCTTTTCAACGCAGCGCAGTGTACCGAGACACCTGGCAGAAAATTAATTTTCTAAAATGGCAAAATGGCAGTGTTTATCATCTATCTACCTATAAACGAATTTTCGTTTGAAGATTTCACCCTCTATTGTTTAAATGATCGTGCAAGATAATAACGAATTACAATTAGTATAGAACTAGCAGCGAAGCGACTTAATCCAAGTAGAAAAGTTATTTTGGGCATCCAAATTTGTTTTTACAAACCTCCTCGTCGGTCGGGTCCCGTCGTTGTTGCAAGTTTAGATTAAAAGATAAACATATACGGCCTTATTACAAACAAAAAAACTTAAACCTGTGGACTGTGGAGTCTTGGTTTGGTTGGTCTATAGTTAGTCCAGCACAAACGTTAAACTTCGTTTTGTAAGAAGGATTTCAAGTCTGAGAGACTTTCAGGTTTGAGAGTTAGTCTTCTTTTTGTAATAAGAGTGATAGTGTCGAGGACATTTTTTGAGATCATTTCAAGAGGAATCATTCTTTCAAAAGTATTTTTTAGGTATATTATACAGTTTTCGCTAAGAACATATTACAAAATTAGAAAATAACTAATAATATTTTACCCGCTTTTTCCACATTTCTTGCTGTTTTTTTTTTTTTTTTTTTCCCCTCGCATGTTTTTTGACTTGCCTGCTTGGCCTAATAAATTGTTACCCAACATAAATTTTAAAATATTTTTCAATTCGGACCAGTACCTATTCCTGAGATTACGGTTCAAGCGACTCTTCATATATTATAGTTAGCTAAGACACTTCAGCCTTAGCACGATAAAAGGTACTGGTAAGCAGAAGCAAGAAACCCGGAAACGATATTATTAATAACGAATTTTTCACAATTTTGACGTTATCCAGCTCTTAGCTCCCCTATTCCCCTGCTAAGACTTTTATATCTTTAATTATTTAGATTTATAAAAATAAGACACTTCACCTTTCATCAAGTGAACCCAATGCTAGCCTGTCTACCTGTTTCCGGGGGGAAACTCTAGGTTTGTCATAACATTGTACATGTCCAGTAGATTAGACGTTCGTCAGAAATTATCACTGAATAAAAACCCTTAACATAACTTTGTATATCGATTTTCACTCCATCGATAACGCGTACCGTAACAAATTGTTCCGATAACGAAAAAACATAAATCACAGCCAAGACATCGCTATCTCAGGCATTCAACGAGTTAATTGTCTGGCTTGTTTTGGTTCGGGTCGTCTCCATTAGGCATTACCCATTGTGAGCTCGTCGCCCGAGGGAGTACGTAGGTCAAACTGCTTGTTGAGTGTATTACAGGTGTTATTCTAAATTCGAATCTTTGTAAAGCGTTCAAGTCTGTGGTTTTGTAATAATAACGTGAATTTTGATTTTAATCTATGGTGAATGTGTATTTTTTATTCAATGGCCAGTATTTTTTCAATATGCTGTTAGTATTTTTAAGGGAATTATGTTTTATGAAATTAAATTTTGTTTAACCGTAAGATGTTCATATTTTATCCGGGAGTGTTACTAAAGTTACTAAGCGACATCGTTTAAGTGGTATCAGTGCAGGGCGGTGCCAGTATTAATGAATAGTTGGAAGTGGAATGTTTGATGTTTAGCAATGTACGCGAAGGTTATAGTCAAGGTAAATTAACACCCCCGCATTTGTTTTGAGTAGTTTGAAAATAGACAGAAAACGCTAGGACTTTTTTGTGAATAATATTTTTATTAACTCTAGCTTCCTTGCATTCATATAGAGAATGTGGTTCTCAACATTAGGAATACAGTAAGATATCTTAGTGTGTATCATCTTGACCTAACTTTTTCCTGGGTTTCTAGTGTTCTACGATTACTCATTTCCTACCTATACGCACTAAGACCACTCTATTTTAAACTCTTCTTTTACCACTGCTGGTATATACTGATGTATAATTGCTATTTACTATACTCTATTATTTTTCCCATTATCCTCCCGTACAGTAGTTACGATTTGCGATCATCTGTCTGACTTAATCTTGAAGTTCCTTCTTACAGCTTCATAGGCAAAAAAAAAGAAAAAAGAATTGACACAATACGTATGACGTCTTCTCTTGAAACTTTTTCTGTCCATTTATTATCCATCTGAGTAAATTGGTCGCTATTAATTTATTTTTTCTTATTTTAAGTGTCGTTTCCCTAGATAAGTTTAGTAAATGTTTTTTTATTGCTTTATATTATAAAACACACCACATATTATATATAAGTGTTAATAAATAAATAATAATAAATATGGCTATTCAGAAAGTTAGATGAAAGTGTAACACGTAAAAATGCTTTCTTTTAATTAACGTACATATGTATACTTCAATCTATACCGCAAACGCGTTAAATGTGTTTTTAATTATCCTTATAATGATGTTGGTAAAAAAACCACACAGCATGCTTTTCTTATCCTCAGTCACATTTAACTACTAGGCGTTACTTTGAGATCATTTGATCTGGCATAGTCGCGACTCGAACCTGTGTCAGACCAGAATGTTCCTGTATTAGAAAGAAATAATAGACATTTAGTTGCTACTTAACTTTATCCATCAATACACACAAACAATAAAGTAGTAGTATAGAATTAATAATGTTAATATTTATTTATAACATTAAAGATTATTTATTCGTTGTCTATTGCACGTACTTTCCAAGCGTAAACCAAAAGTTTAAAGTCTTTTAATTATATCTGCTTACAGCTTACATTCAGTTGTGAGTTTAGTTACACCCAAAAGTACCTTTGGAACGAAAGCTTCTAAAAAGCCATATAAAAAAAACAGTTTTTCTATAATTAGTCACTTATCACCCACGAAGTAGTTACAATTTTGTTATGTGTGGGTTGTGTGATTCATAAGGACCAAGTATCCTTGTATTGTTTAGTGTCCGTTTGGCCGTCGTGTTTGACGTTTGTTTTATTGTGTATGAAGAAATATGACGCTAGGACAGCATTGGCGCCTGCCTCAAATTATAATTGAGGTATTGTTTGAGTTTAAAAATAGAACAACAAAAGCTCTTCATGAACTTCCACTCTTTCTTTTGTCGACTCTTTTTTTTGAACACGTTAGTACTACGAGAAGAATGATTACATTTTTATTTTTGGCAAAAACTTGGACGCGTCAGCGTATTTTCTCTATAACGCAATCAACACTTTATCAAGAATAACTTTGTAAGCTATCTTAAATAAATAACAATAAGGATGTGGTAGTGCGCAAAAGTAAAACGGCTATTTTTAACTTAAAAATATGTTATATGTGATAAATGTTTTATTGACAAACATTACTACTATTTCATTGCAAGTTGCGTAAATTGGTAGCTCTTGCGTCGTAGGCTAGGGTACATAGTGTGATTCGAGATTTACATATATAAATAACTGGTTTCTGGATAATACGGGAAATTGCAAGCATGTAATTTTATGCAATGTTTTTCTCTTTCTATGTTTTTAACACTACTGGCATTTCAACTTACCCTTTTAGAAAGGTCGATAACAAAATGTCACTTTATTTAGTCCCCAAATCGTCAGCGGTCGTTCCTAGTTCATAATATTGATATGAGTAAAAAACTAATCTATACTAGTATTATAAAACTGAAGAGTGTCTTTAGTTTAAAAGCGCTAATCTCAGGAACTACTGGTTCGAATTGAAAATATCAGGCTGCGACCAATAGGAGTGAAAAAACAGTGGGAAATTTAGAACAAACGAGGAAAATTGTTCATCTTTTAAAGTTTCCTTTGTCTGCGCAGTAAATACGGTTCAGGATACTCAAAAAATATGTAGGACATAATGATTCCACTTCAATCTAAAAAATATTATAAAAATATTTTTATAATAGTATAATTTGTAAAGATGAAGAGGTTTGCAAAAAATATTTTGATGCCAAAAAATATACCTACTTTAGGCGGACGAAGTCGTTGGCACAGCAAGTAACTCAAAAATTGGATTGAACATATTATGTCGGCAATCTTACCCATTTTTATTGGCGTCATCTATCGTGACTTTATTTTCATGACAGAATTGTTCAAGTGAAATTTTGTTTTCTTAGGATTCTTGTCGGCATGTCGGCGGTTCGAAATTCTACGAAGTGATGGAAGGAACAAGTACAGCAGACACCTCGACTCCATCACCCACAGAGAAACAGGACCACATGAAACCCACGGAGAGTGATGATGAAGGTATCGACTTGCACTTTCTTAGGGGAGAAGTGAAATTATAATAATATATATTAAAAAAAAATAATCTATAATAAATTGAAATTTCCGACTCGGACTGGACGTGAACCGGCATCCTCAGTATTCCGTGCTGTTGCTCTAACCAATTGAACTACCCTGTCCTAACACATCAACCGGGTTCAAGTCCTGTCCGTGTCGTAATTTTGTTCAATTTATAATCGATTTAGAACTAAATGATGTGTATAACTCCCCATTTCTTATAAAAAATCAAATGATTTTTTACTAAATATTTATATCGGCAACTTGGACACAGTCGTTTCATCCCCAGTGTCGGACGTCGATCAGGAGTGCACTGTCTTCTGTGGCGTAAGCTACCTTGGCGCGCAGAACATAGCTGATCCCAAGTCAGAGACGGACATCCAGAGGATCATGAAGGAGCTCAGCTCGATGCCGGAGAACAGAGACGGGATAGCTGTCTCCATATCTATACCTGTCTGTTCACAGGGGCTTGTTGTGTAAGTGTAAATAATAGGGTTCAAGTCAATATTTTTGTCCATCAACTTACCTTCCATCGTGTAGGTAGTTTGGAATTAAATCTTGCAAAAGAAAAAGTTTTAAATTTTAGAAATAAGTCAAGAAAATCTTGATTAAAATATAAGATTTATATCACCCTACTATTTTACTTATAATACAAAAGAGTGGACAATTCATAAAAGGAGATAAAAATTCATTAAAGAAAAGAGCCTAGAGCGAGACTTAATTTTACTTTTACGTTTAGTGTAAAAAGTGAAATACCCTCCTTTTGTTACCCTCATGGGGCAAACCCATGTCTGTGTCTGTGTTATTGTTCGTCACATACATTAAAATAACATATAAACAGAATTTTGTGCTATGTCCGACCCGAAGCTATTCTGTTTATCTGGATATCGAACCCAGGAACTTCAACTTTTATCAAATATCTTAAATAAGCTTCCTACACATTTGCATCGTAGCCCATTACAAAATTCCAACGCATTACTATCTGGTTCTCAATAGATCCAAATTAAAAACAAAGTAACAATCAATTTTGTATATTATTGTTTTTCAGGCTGTTGAGCCGACGTGAGCGAGAAGAGGTTCTCGACGTTCCGCCACAACATCAGGAGACGTTACCTCCTCGATTGCTCGAAAAATTATGAGAACCTCTTCTCGCTAACCTCGGCCGTACAGCCCGAAAAACAATGGTACGCTGAACGATAGCCGTGAAAGCCTTCCACAATTTAATCAATTTTGTCTATTTCAGCCTCTACCAAGCTGACACGAACAGTGTGATGGCTCGTTATGCAGTGAACAGAATATCTTTCTACGCCCGCGGTGCAGTTGGGTCGCCGGTCGCGTCTTGCTTTGCCTTCACCTGGTCACACGGCGAGACCAAGGAGTCTGCGGTCTACAGGTGCCATGTCTTCCGATGTCACATCTCGGAGGCAGTCAGCCAAGTGTCAAGTGAGTGTTCAATACCCGTGGTATAGATGTAAATCGTGTACTGCGTTAAGATACCAGGATCGTACCTCGGAAAAGCTTTAAAGAAGGAATCCCTTCCCCCCTTCATTAATGTACTTGAAGCAAAAAAACATCAGTCGATTTCAATGGAATTGTTCTTATCCTCACTGTTAATATTGCCAATACCTATTGTCCATTTATGCAATAAACATTTCCTCATAAACCTCTTTCTCGTTGATAAGGCGCTAAAGGTTCATATGAAAATAGAAGTCGATTAGTGCAACGGACACAAAAATGTGTCTGTTATCATTTTATGTTAGACGAGGGCAGATTAGCATTTAATTCTCAAAGGGAGACATATAACATCTAAACAAGGTGCGTTTTCGACCGTTTTATTGGTTTCATACTCGTGTTTCACGTTTTTGGGTTAATTCAACTGTTTTAGCAGCGAATGCAACAGAAGCCCACAAAGACGGTATTTTTTTATTTTAGCCGCTTCCCCCAATATTTCTTCGCTCTTATTGATCGCAGTGTGATGTTAAATAAATAGCCTTCCTTAATAAATGGTCTATCAGACACAAAAATATATTGTTTCTATTCGAACCAATAGTTCCTGGGATTATCGTTTCTTAACAATCAAACTTTCCAGCTTTATAATATTAGTATAGACATATTTAATATGATATAAATAAATAGTATTCATACAAAATATATACATAATATACAGATTTTTTTGTTAATTTAATTTCGTATTAACAAAAATGGTCATTCGAGATCAAGGCATATTTACTGAAATTTAAACTTATTTGAAATGATTTTTAACTTCGGCCCGACGTTTCGGATGCTTTGCAGCAGCCGTGGTCACGGGGAGACTGTCTCCCGGGCCGCAGTTATAAATCATTTTCCAACAAGTTTTACTAATATATCGCGTTTTAAACCCTTAACGTGTTTAATTTAAATGTGTACTACTCGCGTGAACTATAGATAGTATTTAACTTTAATAGTTGCCAATTTGGTGTAGAAGAACCAATGGGGCAAGTGTAGTGAAAAAAAATACAATCTTCGTGATTAATTCGCAGCATCTACTATCAATTTAGTATAGTTCTTGCGTTTCGCAAACGAAAATGAACCCAATACAAATAACATAAAGTCCTTTTTACCAAACGGCTTGAAACGCAGATGTTTGTCCAATCGTTTACTAAAGTTACGACAATCAGTGCATTGCAATGAGCTGTTCAAACAATAGGCTCGCGCAGTTTGTTTTGACGCTCCTTACAAATCGTACGCAATTTTCAATAATTCACATAATTGGGTTTTTATTTCATTAATCCCTTAACGTCCTCAGTTATAATTTGTGATTGTGCACACTTTTGTTAAAGGTAACGTGGTGTGAATGTAATTATATAGATGCTATTGAAAACAATAGATTTCTTGTTGTTTTTCATTTTCTTACAATTCTATTTTCCCATGACTCTTGGAACGAATTAAATGTAATAACTTAGGTAGACAAGTTAGGAATTATAGCTCTTTTGCCTTTGGTTTGGTGGCGTATCAAGGTATCATATCTAAATAAAAACTTAACGGCTTAAAACGCGAAATATTCGATTCGAGTAATTTAAATGAGAAACGTCGGGCCCTAGTTAAAACTGAAAATAACTAACATATTTCGTGTTTTAAACTCTTTGAAATTTATTTAATTTCACGTAAAAGCAAAACGTCAATAAGTTTAAAAGGTATTATTTATTACAAAAATGGTAATCAAACAAGATTTAATAGTGACAACTAAAATAAAAGGTGTTCTGAATCGCTTTAAAAATAGTTCTTGATAACACTGCTCGGCTTATCTAAATGTATGGATTTGTTTGTTTTTTACACATTTTCAAGCAGACACTGATAGATTGCACTTGTGTCTGTTGTTAATTTTTTTTTGCTATTGTGCTGTAATATGTAAGTAATATAAATTCAATATTTGTATTGCTTTGTATGTTAAAATATTTAGAGGGTCTTGGTCGTATTCCCCCACGAGGACCAGTCGGCTTGGGAGATGTATGTTAAAAAGTCATATATAACTTATTTTGTTTCTTTATCTATTATTACCGCCTCTGTAGCCAAATGGTTAAACGTATTGCCTAACATTGCGTTAAGCGCGAGAGGTCCTGGGTTTGAATCGACTTCGAATTCGAAAATTGTCTCGGTCGGGCAGGGCACAGAAGTCCCATCAACTACAACAAAAAGCACATTAAAAGAACGGATCAGTGAAACGGACACAGGAATGTGTTCGCCCCATGCCCCACGAGGGGGGAAACAGCTTTTACATTTTTTTTATTAATTATCACGATAAAAATATGTTCTATAAAGGTATGTACGCCCACATTTTGAACATACAACGCCATTCGGCTTAATATAATGATTACGAACATCAAAACTTGTTTATTAAACTTATTACATATTAGTAACCTATTTTATTGTTAAAAAATACAACATTACTTAAGTTTAATACATATTTCCTCTACAGGCTGTTTCGCCAAAGCGTTTGAAAGAATACCTCGCTCCATGGCGTCTTCGCTCGTGGGCGATTTGAGTGCAGCGCCATCTATGACTGGGTCGTTGACGGAGGGACTAGGACCGGCTGCACCGCCAATGCAGCTGATGCATGTACTGGAATGTTCTGTGGATATCAAGGAAATCGACGCTAAGGTATTACATTAATATGTACTCCTCGGGGGGAACTGAAAAACGATGCGTCTCCTCTACTCTTAGGTGGTGAAACACTTTTAAAACGGGGAGACTCCCCGTGACCACGCCTACTGCAAAGCATCCGGAGCGTCGGGCCGTAGTTAAAATAATTTTCAAATAAGTTGTAGTATAATATAATAATAATTATGTATCGTGTTTTAAACCGTTAAAGTGTTTTATTTAAATGGGTACTACTCGCGTAAACTATAGACAGTATAGAAATGCAAGTTATTTTATTGTGTGCTGTGTTATTTCTTTTAGGGTACGTTCAGTCAAGTGCCAAAAGAGCGGCTCGGCTACAAAATTCGCGGCGGTATTGACAAACAAGTGACAATCAACGTTAAACAAGTAACCAACAACGTGCAAACCGACGCTGATGATATGACGGTAATTTCGCTTCAATTTATTTTCAGTCATATGTATTGTCATCGGGAACTGTATCATTCAATCATATGAATTCGTAACGAACCATCTTTAATTTTAATCACCACACCAGGAAATGTTTTATTATGTCTGACTATATAGCCGATAAAGGCAGAGGAGCCTAACTGCAATTTTATGACTTGACTTATTTCTATTTATATAGTCTAAAAATATTAATCTACAGGAGCACAGTGACCGAAAATCGTTAACATAATTCTTACACAAATAATAGTACAAATTCATTTGTCTGTTTATATGAAATTTATTTAGATTTGCTTCTTGCTTGCTTCTTAACTTGAAAACTCTTTTTTATATGCCATGGCATTATACACAAATATACAAGATATTTACATTGAAACATAGGCGGGACTTGAACCGACATCTACAGCGTTCCATGCTGCTACTCTACCCAAACTAGTATTACTATAAGGATAATGTATTAATACTCTTATTTGTGACTTAGGTTTCATATACTGGAGGGCTCTACATAGAAAGGTGTTTTGGGATCCTGTTGGCCCCGGGCAGAAGTGTTAAGCATTCAGATATGCAATTACTTGAAATGGTGAGTGTATAAAGCTTCAAAAATTCCTATAAATTAAAATTTACTTATTTGATGAAGCTTACTATCTAGGTACCTACTACTTAATTACTTAACCTAATTATTATTTATTAATTATTAATTCTCAATTAATTTTACAAAATATAATGTAAAAGACAAATTTACTCAGTAAGATATTGAAATATATATTTTTTTTAATTAATTGAAGTGAAAATGTCAATATTATGATTCTCAAATACGCTATTGTAAATTGTAAAGTTTAGAAAAATACTCTATACACGAGTTTAAGCCATTTTTTTTTTTCAATTTAATGAACCACCTGAAAAATGCATCTATGCATAAATTAAAACATTGTCTTTCTATTTTTTTTAAATTCGACTCGGAAGAAAGATCATTTATTTTTAAAGCGGCTTGGTAACTTCTAGTTTTCACTAAAAGTACTCTTTGTTTTCAGGTGAGTGGATCATCTGGTGGTTCTGGATGTTCGGTGTGCGCTCTGTGGAACGCCGGGGAAACCGCCCTCGCGGCGTTCAACGTGGCCAGTGGTGACGGGGCTCCAGCCTACATGTCACTCGCGTTGGATCTCGTGATACGTGGAATAAGAGACCCTTTACGGTTAGTTACTTTGAAGAACTGTTAATTTGGTGAAAAGTAGTATTATAACATTATTAGAACCTAATCAACCTATCGATACATGCACCTCTCGCGCAATATTATTTTTTATCTTAATACGCAAGTGTTTAACGTTAAACTCCGTAATTTCATTATTTTAATAAACTTAATTTTGTTGTACAGGTTAATCATAGAAACTCCTGTGAAGATCCACCCACCAACGGAGAGGTTTTGGTACTACTCTAAAAGACCGTTGATTCAACAGTTTTACATCAATTTAAAGGAGGTAAATTTATTGTATAACTAATGGTATCACAAATAATCTATTAAAGTCTATGTATCTCAACTTAGTTATCACTACTACATAAGCTTATATAATCTTCTTATCTGTATATCCTTTACAGTCTGTGGATTCACTTGGGCAGTTGCAATATGAAGTATCCAGCGTAGACACATCGGGGGAGCTGGACAGGTCCAGGTTGAACTTGCCTCTATCTCTGTCCAGTCTTCTGCCTTCGCCGTTGTCCTCTGCGCCCGCGCCGCCGTCGCCTTCAGAGCCAGATTCGGGTTAGTGCCATTTTACTTATTAGTATATTTGTTGTCTTGCTATTTTCCAAAAGTTATACAAATATGGACCATTGTTATGGATACCTTTTGTTTTAGATGGAGATGAACCATTACTAAGTGGTACTGGTGAAGTGTCAAAAGATTGTGGGGTCGATGTTTTGGAAAATTGGGCTCAAGTGTTGAGGAGGTAAAAATATACGCATTTTAAGTATTTTCTGTAGTTTACGCGATTCTTCACATTTAAATATAATATTTAGCGATTTCAAAGTCCCGTTACCATGCCCGCTGCAATCCGAAAGCGCTGGTTCTACTACAAACAATATGTTTCGCATTCTAAACCGTTTAACAGTTTTTAATTTAAACATGTCACTCAAATAGTTTTACTTGTATATACCACAAGTGTTTCACATTGCCTAGTTTAAATAGCCTTTCCCAGCCCAGCTCTTTCTAGAAACTGATAAATGTTAATATCTGTAAACGAGCAGCTAAGGTAAAATGACTTTCGCAGTTGGGTTGGCCCTCGACCGCGTGCGTTGAACCATTTAGTGCGTGTCGGAGTTCCGGAAGCACTACGCGGCGAGGTGTGGCTCCGGTTAGCCGACGTGGACCAGAATGATAAGCTTATGGAGACCTACAGAACGCTCATCAGCAAGGTAGTACATTTAGGCTTATGTTAATACCAGTCAAACTGTGAAGTGCAACGTCAGTTCAATGCAGGAATTTCTTAAAAATTGTCTAAAAAATTAGTTTCGCTTTAACGGTGCGGTTTAAGAGATGGCAGCACGTGTACAGTAAAATAAAGACGCACCAGTACCAGACATTTAATATCCAGATTTCCTGACGTCCAATATGTTTAAAAATTATATAAATAGACCCATTGACCTTTTGCCATACTGCCATTAGACCAACGAGATTGTTGCCACTATTTGTTAATTACGGACAAACTATTTTTCACATACCATGTATATACACTACAGGATTGTCCTTTCGAAGCGGTCATACAGCGTGACATAGCTCGTACGTTCCCTGCGCACGATTTCTTTCGCGAAGCTGGTGGTTTGGGCCAAGACTCGCTGCTACGGATGGCGCGCGCATACGCAGTGTACGATCATGAAGTTGGTTACTGCCAAGGACTGAGTTTTCTAGCTGCTACACTGCTGTTGCATGTAAGTCTACATCTCAATCCTTAGGTTCGTTATATATTTTGAAAATACTATAATTTGGTAAAAGTAAGTAATACACATTTAAATACTTTTAACGTTGTCCCCCCATGACTGAAACGTCCGGGCATAGTTAAAGATCTGTATACAAAGATATTTCGCGTTTTAAATCGTTGAAAATGTTTTATTTAAATATATCATGTTTGTTGCTAAAACAGTAATTTATTTGCACATTGAAATCTAAATCAGAATTGATATAACAAATATACAATATATTTAATTGCACCTACTCGGTGGTAATTTGTGAAAATGATATCGTTATATGCCCAGCTCTATCTAGTTATGATTTTACTACATGCGTAGTAATATTTAAATCTTGTATAAAAGGCCGAAATTATAAATAATAATAGGTGACTCTACTGTAGATGCCAGAAGAACAAGCCTTTTGTCTCCTGGTTCGCTTGATGTACGGCTACGGACTGCGTGAACTCTACAAGGACGGCTTTGAAGCGTTGTACATGAGACTACATCAGTTGGACAGGCTCATGGAGGTAAGTAGCTTTGTGGGGGGAGGGGGTCACATAATGTGTAAATGTATATTTATATTATATATATTTGTTTTTTTTTCAGGAGCAACTGACTGATCTTCGAGCGCATTTTCAAGAGTTAGGCGTCGAGCCGCACATGTTCGCCTCGCAGTGGTTCCTCACTGTCTTCACAGCTAGATTTCCTTTACCACTAGTAAGTTGATCACATAACCTTTTTGAAAATAATTTTGTAAACACCCTCCCATTTCTGCCATTTAAAGTAGGATAGGAGACCGATGTAAAATATCAAGATCCCATCTTCGCGTTACGACGAAGAAGTTGTGCCAGACAAACAGCGTTTTGCCATGAAATTATACAATAACAAGTTGTTTTTTTTTTCATAGAGTACTAACATAATTATTTTATTAGACAAATAATGTTCATAACTATTATATACAAAAGATATAGAATAATCACAAAAATTAATAACAATTTTCATATATAAATAATTTTGTTTCCAGGTTTACCACATTCTGGACGTGTTTCTGCTCCAAGGTGTGGACACGCTTTTCCAAGTGTCTCTCGCACTGCTTACCAGGTCGCGGAAGGATCTGCTGCAGCACGACTTCGAGGGTGTGCTTAAGTATTTCAGGTAATTCTCTCACTCGCGCAATTTAATTTAATGTTAATATTTTCGAATTAAGTTTCAATCTCATGATTTGCAGCTGAATCTGCTGTTCAAATATTAAAGTTAAATATAAACTTGTCTTTTAGGGTAACTTTACCAAAGAAGTGCCGCGCTGAGGAATCGTCGCGTCAAATTGTCAAAATGGCGTGCAGCATCAAAGTTAAACGCTTACACAAATACCAGCTTGAATACGAAAAGTTCATCAAGGGTGAGTCTTAACTTATAATACGGTTTAAATTAAACTCTTGACTGATTAAAATGCCAAATATTAACTTATTTAAAATGTAATTTAACTACAACTCGACGTTTCGGATGCTTTGCATCAGCCGTGGTCATAGGGGACTGAAGGAGTAGGGTGCCCCTAATCTCAATGTCAAATCTGTTACGCTAGCGCCATCTGTTTTTTCGTAGTCAGTCAAACTAGTTGGGTGACTCTGACTAGACTGGGTTGGGTAACTGACTCACGGTGTCCTCACTTTCAGTTAACATATATATTTCACGATTTGAACCGTTAAAAGAGTTATAATGAGAGGCTAAATTTAAGCGAGTAATAATAAATACAGGCTTAAATTAGGACATAGTATAACACACACAGACACATCTTACGATATTAGATTTTTGATACATAATCTGTGGTTGTATTTAATTAAATATTCAAAACATGTATTTATTATTCCTTCAAATCTTATCAATATATGGAAACACGTGGACTCATATCGATTTATAAATAAACGAGTTACATACGAGTATAATATAACATCACTTTTTTATCAAACTTAAGCTTAAACTAGTCTTTAACTAACCGTCAGTGCACATGTTCTAAGATGTCTGTCTGTACAGAATCGGCTGAGAAAGAGAAGATTAATGTGGAATTGGAGAGACTGAAAGTGATAAACACACAACTACAACAAGAGAAAGAGACGCTAGAGAAACAATTGGCACAGGTAAGAGTCGGTTAGATATATAATTGTGACGAGCAAAATATTTTGTGTACTTGTCATTCTGTTCTTCGGCTTCACTTTTTTTTAACTGTTAATTTGAGATTCGCAACGGAAGCTGCAGTCAATACAGACAATTTAAATTCCGGTTAAATAACATTTAAAATGTAATTTTTAAAGGGTCTACGAAAATACGTTTACGTACGTACGTACGTTTAAATAAAGCTAACAATTTTGTACTCATAGTTGAATATATAACATAAAGGGACACTATGAAACAAAAGATATTTAATATTCTAGTTTATTTAGTGTAGTTCAAATTAAGAATAATTATTTTGTAATTTAAAAATCGATTTTAGATTACAAAAATTTACGACACTGGCAGGGCCCGTTAAAAAGTTTTCAATTTATAATAGATTTTTAATTTATTTATATCATGCACAATAACATGTGAAAAATATTAAAGTAATTTTTTTTTGTTTAACAGACCCGCAGTAGCTTAGATGAAGCACAGAAAGAGTCTGTTCACTACGCGGCCGTTGCGAGGGACTACAGGGAGATATGTGCAAGGCTGGACAAGCAGCTCAATCACTTACAGGTACTGCGAGGCTAGATTTTAATAGAATATTTAAATCGAATATATAATAAAAATTGAGAGGTTGTGAATTTTAATTTTTAATTATCATTTTCTACAGGACTGTACAAAGAGTTGCGTCGGTTGCACTCTAAAGTTGGCGCAGAAAGACAACAAGGAAGGTAATTTATAATGTCAAAAAATTAAGCTTTGACGACGCTGACATGCCGGACACGGTAACTCAATTGGTTAGAGCAGAAACGCAACGAAAAGCAGAGGATGCCGATTCAAGTCCTGCCCGTGTCGTAATTTTTTTCAGTGTAAAATCGATTTTTAATTTATATAGTGCCATCATGTGCAATAACATGAGAAATATATTAAAATTCTTGTTTGACTATCAACGAAATAATAAAGGTTAACACAAATGTCGTGACAATTACATGTGTTCCGTTAAAAATAAGCTTTTTAACAAACATGCCTTAAATATATTCAATTTAACTTATATCCATGTGCTTTTAAAATTATGTTGATTTAAATTTTCGTTTACAGAGAGTGAGGAAAAAAACTCTGCAAAAGAGGAAAGCTCTAGCGACACAGAGGCGAGACTGAAGCAGCGCGTGAGAGATCTCGAGCTAGAACTGGCGCAAGTCAAGCTTGCGCATGTGCAAGCGCAGTGCAGCAATCAGGTACTTAGTTTTAAATTTAGAATTTCGAATTATGATTCTTTTTCCACACTTCGACATCGTCTACATATTTACTTCGAAAGATAATATATTATTACGGTGTTATATTATTTAATGTTTAACGTTATTCTATTAAAACAATTAAGAAATAGACATTTTTATGCCGAGCTCTCCACCGAAATGCGCAAGAATTCGACAGAAGATACCTAAATAAAATCTCAGTGGAATGAAAGACGTTGATAGATTCTAATTTATATCTAAAAATATGAAAATTTGAAACCAGTTCGTTTCGACTTTAGATTTGACGTTTACGTTGAGTTGCTGTACATATATTATATATTTAATTTATACTTTGCAGGAATTAAGTCACCAATTGAACGTGGCATTGAACGAAATGCAATCGGCGATGAATCAAAAGCAAACAGTCGCGCCGTGGCTAGTACGTACTCTTGGTAAGAACCGTTTTAATCATGCGCATGATCTACTGTAATCAACATACACTAAACACACTTCTTATAAGAAATAACGCACACTTCGCAACGTTAATGCGTTTTAAATATTTTGCATTACTGAGAGCACTAAAATTTTTTTCATACTTAACAGTATACAATAAGGAAATTTAAAACTACCCGCATTTTCATAATACTCATGGAATATAAAGATCATATCTTTCATTGTAGGTCATTGAAGTGATGCTTTCTTCACCAAAGCAAAGGTGAATACATTGTGTACATCACAGTATCGTAGATTTAGTTTAAACATTTATTGATGGTATTTTGTTCAATTCATTTTATCATTCTTTAGTGACCCATCAAGTTCTATGACATTTTGGGAACCCCGCGGTGTCGAACTGCGAACGACACAGAGTTTTTTAATTCACTTATCATTCCACAGCTAGAAAATGTCACAGAATAGATAAGTTGTTATAAGTATTTGCTATTATCTATAACCCTATAGAGGCATGCAATTACATACATATGTACAATGCATGAGACTTGTCTTCGTGGTCTATCTGAAACAACAATTGGGGTAAATACATAAAGAAAAGTAGAATGTTATGCTTATATGAGCTAGTCTTTACGATGTTGTAACAATTTTTTTTGTAAGAAAAGCATGAGGAAAGATAAATTATTATTTTACCCTTGTTATATATAAATATGCTATATATGCCCCCCTTAAAATATTAGGCTTATAAATGTCTTAATACAACTTGCAGGTTCGATAATGGAGGCTGCCCAAAATCGACCGTCGTTCCAGACATATCTACCGAATTTAAACCAGGAGCCATCATCTCTTCACAGACAATCCTCGTTCTCTAATAGTCAGAGCCACGGAAGCTTGGACCGCCGCGTCTCAGAACCGTACAGCCCAGACGTAGTCAGACGAAAGAAGGACCTAAACGCCAAAAGGCACTCAATGCTCGTTGAATCAAATATTTCCAAAGAGGCGAAGGAAATCAATAGACGCAGCCACGACGTGTCAAGTGTCAAGAACCTGTCATTAGGTTGACACACACGTTTGACAGGCTTAGAACCTTGATACGTCTTTGATCAGGGAATAGATGCAAGTCTTTTGCCTATGCTCTCATACTCGAATATCAAAAAGACTTGTATCCTAGCCAATCAAAGAGTTTAGTTGGACCATTCTTGTTTAGCTGTGTTCACGTTTGACAGTTGCGTTGGTGCAAATATGTCTGCTCTAAAGGTGCAGTAGTACTGTCGAAATTAATTAACTAGCGCCTAGCACCACGGTTTGCTTGTAGTTCAACGTGTTCATTACTTCACACAAGCTATGAAGCTACGAAGCTACATCAAAAGCTCCTTAAAAATAAAAAAACAGAATAAACCAGAGACAAAATTCCCATTGATTCATAACACGTGGTTGAAGTAATATAGGCGTTTGCAATATAAATGTGCACATACTTATAACTAGTCAATATATTACCGTTATTATATTTCGTTGTATGCTTGCCATGTCAGTTTCTAGTTCCACATTCCATAGACAAATCTATAGTCTATGCCATAAACGTATTGATATTTTATCTATGATTAAGGCTACTTATTTTGGCAGATAATATATCGTAGAAGATTTTATGGCGAAAGATTGGAGTTGCACAAGAGCTTACCGTTTGTATATATCGGCTTAGCTAGAATAGAATTAGGCGGGAAATGTTTAGACTTTAGTATGTCAAACGAAAACCATAGACAAAAATCGACGGTATCGACAAATCTAGTTAAAAAGATATACTAACAAGTACGTTTTGCCGAAAATCCGTTTTTGGTTCGTTAAATTTAGACAAAACTGTCAAAAAACAATGGCGAGTACTTGTATTTTATAGAAAATCTGTAGCTTTATTTGTTGTTTTCGACGTGTGCGTTTATTCAGCTAAATAATGATAGCCATGTGTTAAGTCTTAATTTTATCTCTCAGAATTGCTAATGCACTAGGTTTGTGATAAACGTGACGTCATCATCCTAAAATGTTGCCAGAATAGTATCTACCAAAAATCAGTTTAATAATATAAAAATTAGGTCAGTATCGGTCGAGTGCATTAGATTTTTTTAATCTTCTATAACTTGTATAGGCTAAGCTCTGTCAAAATATATCGAAGTAATTTATAGAATTCGTTCGACAATAATTAAATTATTTTGCAAAATAATCAATACTCAGTATTCTTTGCATGTCATTTGTGCCTTTATTTGTTTAGGCAAATGCATATCAGAGTAGATTTATTGATCATTTCTAGCAGTAGCAATTTGTTTAAGAATTGCCATCTTATCACTGTAAAAAGCAATCTTTTATTGAAATTATGATATTAATTTAATATTAGTAGATAGAGCTTTGGTATTGCAACACTAAATTATCAGTATTCAATAAGGAGAATAATTTAAATTTTCAATTGGACGTGTTTTCTTATGTATCTTGATCTCTTTCTTTTTATTTGTTAGTTTATTTTTTGTTTTTGGAAATTGCATTTATTTCTAGAAGACCTGTTGATTTGTATTAAAAAATGTTTATTCGAATATTGTCATTGTGAAAAATTGCGTTTGCATTCATTTCTAGGTTTGTGGATACAGTGAATATTAGTTATACCAATCTTTGATTTCTTTTCATTTTTTATATGTTCAACAGTAAAGAATATTTTTATCCCAGTAAGAACATGCTTAATATTGATATTATATTAACTACTATTTCGGCTGGAATGTTTTAGTCTATCATTTATGAATAAACCTGTTTTTCATGATTGTTGGTGTTTTATTAGATGAACAGAAGTGGTTGTATTTGTCAACAAGTTAGCAGTAAACAATGAACAACCAAAAAAGCTTTCATTAGTTTAGATAAAAAATTGTGTTATTACTTACATTTTAATGTCGAAAATTTTACTTGCTTATACTGCCATCTAGTGTTCAGTAGCAGGAACTAGTATGCACTCATTTAAAAGTTGTGAAATGTTTAGTATAGATGGCGTTAGTTATTGAAGTCCTCTCATTTTCTTGACTAATAGTTTATTGTGATCATGATTAGAATACGAACAGTTATATTATTTAGTTAAATTACATTTTTGCCTTATTTCAGTGAAAGTTCTATATTTCAAGCATTTTATAGCGTGATCCAGGGGCGATACAACCTTTCAATAAAACATATGATTGTACATTTCACGACAGCGAACGTACCAATCGTTGACGCAAATGTGATTAGAAACAGCTGTTTGGAGATTAACAGTTGTCTTGGGGGCCAATTCTAAAAGTGATTCAAGATTATAAAACGACATGTCGCTAGTGTCGAACAATCGAATTGCCCCTAGAGCATACGTAAACAGTGCCGTTAAGCGTAAATACGCGCTTGTGTCTGAGTATTTTAATTTAATTTAATTGTAAATTACATAAATGTAAGTATGTATATAGCTTGGATAGGTAAGCTGCATATATTCTGTTGCATGAAGGAACTTTAACAGGGTAAAAGGGATGTACCAATATTGACAAAATTTCTCATTAAACAGCCAACCCGCAATTATAGTTCGATATATTATATTAAATATAATAATTAATGGTTAGTCCTCATATAGGTTTTAATAATTTACTGTTAGTCTTGATATAAACTCAGGTAACAGTAAAACCCATTTTCCATGGTATATTAATTGTAGCTTACCTACAATCCACAAATAGTACAGTTTACGTGACATTTGAAATAGATCTGATCTACTTACCCCTTTGATCTATGCAATGATGATTAGTTATGCGCGTGCGCACAGAACGTGATCAGAGAAATGTGAAGACGATGAAACTGTTAAAAGTGATTTAGTGCATCTACCGTTTAAGACATTTATTTTACTTATACGTAGAGAAAACTACAGACTGCTGTAAACTCAAATTTTAAGTTTTTGTTTAGTCCAATCGTATTAAAATAATAAATGCGGGTAGAATATTATAACAATCCAGAAGTTCTGGTCGGAATAGTCAAAACAAACAAAGCATTTTCTCCTAATCTTAAAAGTAAGTATTTCAAAGTATACATGCAATACGCTACAGTGTAACATTATAGTACACATACAGTGTCAAAAATTTAGAAACAAAGAAAAATTATAAAATTAATTTATGTCTTAATAAACAAATTTAGTAATAATTAAGCTCTATTTTATTGTTCTATAGTGTCAATATAGTTAAATGGTTAAGACAATAATTTAGAAAAATTGCAGACATATGTGTAGACTAATGTACAATATTACTGTTAGTGACAATAGTAACTTTAAGAATCGTTAAAATCTTTTTTCAATATTGAACTGTAATAGAAAAAAGAACTTTTTCTTTTTCCCTTCCTATATATAAGAATTATTATACATTGAGGCTGCAGAGCGTGGCCTATAACGTAATGTTCAATAAGGGGAAAAATAAAAATGCGCAATTAATGAACTTAACTATTATTTGTGTGTATTTGTTAACAATTTTCGGTGACTGTAAGTACTCTTGTATCTTAACATTTTTAGACTATGAAAATACTAAAAACTCAAGGCGTACAATTGCAGTTAGGCCACTCTACCTATAGCGGCCCAATCATAATTAAAGACACCTGAACAAGAGACATATAAAGACATAGACTATTTATGTACTTGTCGATTCAAATATTAGATAGGTATTTATTTTTATCCAACCAATTGAAAATGGACGTAGATTGGCGTATTACATAAAAGTAAGTCCGCTGACTGCCCATAATTATTTTATCTTAATCTCCACTTCAAATGAATGACCGGTCCCTCTCAAATCAAACAAGTCAAACACAACGCAGACGTCTGCAGTTATTTCGGAGATAATTGCCTAAAGCCAAACCAATAAAGTAAAGATCAAAACGGCGCCAATTCGGTTTTAGACAATACAAAGCGTTTACCATAATTTATTTGTGTCTACCCAATTTATATGGTACTTATTGTGTTTAAGAATGCATTTATTTCGTATATGAGACAGACATAAAATAAGACGTTAACATTTTAAAACTCTAATTAAGTTCCCTGTAGTTTACGGGAGTAACGCATTAAAAAGAAACGCCACATTTTAACCGTTTAAAACGTTAAAATAATTTTATTCAGATATCAGTCCCACCGTGGCCACGACTATTGAAAACCAGCCAAGATGTCGGCCCATACCTAAATTAAATTGACTAATGCATTTGGCGTTTTATACCGTAAAAAGTGTTATATTTAAATTGCGATTAACCCATGAAAAAATACTGTCTATAGTTTACGCGAGTAGTACACATTTAAATAAAACACTTTAACGGTTTAAAACGCGATATATTAGTTAAACTTATTACTTAACGTGACCACGGCTGCTGCAAAGCATCCGAAACGTCGGGCCGAAGTTAAAAATCATTTTCAAATAAGTTTAACTAATATATCGCGTTTTAAACCGTTAAAGTGTTTTATTTAAACCATGAAAAAATGTTTTTTTATAATCGTTGTTGTGCGTTTTTTATTTTATTTTATACGTAAGCAAGCGCGTGATGAGCCTCTCTACTTATCTCATGTATCGCCGATAATCGAATCCAGGTCCTTTTATGAGATAGAACGGGGGAGATACAAAATGTATGTCTATATACTTAATAAATAGCATATCTAAATATATCGAGTTTTAAAACGTTAAAGTGTTTTATTTAAATACAGACAGTAGTTAAAATAGCACTAACTTGTGCTGTAGTTGTGTTATCTTGTAATGTAGAAATAAATGTATTTTGTGCATTTTGTTCTGAGTTATAAAGTTTTAAAATTTGTTCACATTGTAATAATGTCTTCTCATTAGTTTTTTTCACGTATCTCATTTAAAGTAGCTACATACAGTTATTAGCACGTCAAGTACTTATTGTGTGAAAGCCGGGACATTATAGTTTCACCTGAGAACGCATATCATCGTGCGAAAATCTTATTCTTGCTGACGCACGATGAAACATAACAAATGGATGCATTGGGTATCAACTTACGGGCTTATATACTTTTACTAGCTGTGTGTAATAGTTATTTT